GAAGGTGAATAATCAACGATTCTTTTTTAATTATGAAGGAGAGAGGTTTCCTCACCAATTTGGCTAAAACTTCACAATTTTGTGTATTTTGGTGCGTAAAACATGAATCTATAAGTTAAAATTGTCGCTCTCAATTAAGAAAAAAGTTATTAAGTACTAAAGTTGATACTTGCGTGGTTAGGAGATGTCTGTCATTTATTATACTTTGTATTTATAAACTAGAAGAGTTTCAACTATTCTCTTCTTTAACAAAAAACATAAATTATTACTTTCTTTGGAAAATATGGAAAGTTGCAGTTCTGTTGTACTGAATATGCCACAAGATATTGAATTAAATGGTTAAAAAAGATAATAGAAATAGAGTTATTATACTTTTTTTAAAGCAGAAAATAAAATTGGCATATTGGAAAGTCTATAAATACAAAGTAGCCAAATTGGTTAGAAAACCCCTCTTCTTCATAATTACCATTCTTTGAAACCAGCAATTATCTCACTTAATTACCAAAAATATATTATGATTTTTATGATAACAACGTGAGTATGAATTATGACAGTTGTATGTTATAGATTTTTACAAAACCGACAACTTTGATGATAGCGAGTTGCAGGCTCGATTGTATGAAGGAATCTACTATGATTTCTCGATTCAAACTGATTCGGACATTAAAGGTGATTCAAGAACCACAGATGCTCCAAGGATGATTCAACTTGATAGCATGACCACTGAGACGAATGTTAAATCAGACATGCTGCAACACGAATCTGAAGAGCAACCTTTGGCATCTAAAACCACTGGAGGTAAAGCTAGTAAAACTAAGAAGTCGAAAATATTAATAGAATGTTATGATTAGAATACTTTAAAAAAGAATTCCATTGAATTGCAGAACAATTAATTTGCAATAATATGTATATACGATATTCAGCAGATTCTCAGACGATGCCCTCTACAGATCGGACAGAATTTACTCAAATCAATACATTGGCTGGTAGAGAGATGAATCCTTCGGCACATGGATGTGACAATGGAAGTCCAGAAGATCTTCTAGTTACACAAGGAAAGGAAAACGAAGAAAATTCTTCTAAAAATTATAAATCTTCCAAATATATGAAAAATGAACATCAAGAAAGCTTTGAGAAAGACCATAATGATACAGCATATTCAAAGTACAATGTTGTTTCGAAATGTGTGAAGAAACAGAGGCTTTCAGCCAAACAAACCGATAAAGATGAAGACAATTCCGACTCTGAAGAATCCATATGTGAAGTACCTATTCCACCAAAACCAGAACCGCCGCTCATAGATTTGCAAGATTCTGATGAAGAAACCAATACAAGTTCAGGGATAGATTTGATTTTGAAAAAATGGAAGAACATTGCTTCAACAAAAACAAATTCAAGAAGTACTTCAAATCATGAATTAGAAGTCATAGAAATATTAAGTAGTCGTCAGAATACATCTTTCAAAAGTAAGAATACCGATACAATAAATCCCGATAAAAGTATCCAAACATCAACTTGTGTGCAAGAAGTTACAGAAGATATTGTTTTGAATTGTACAGCAATTCAGAGAGGCGCTAAAAGTGTAAGTGAAATTAAGCAGTTGTCCAAAAGTACCGTGGCAAATCAAGGAAGTAAATCAATTGAGGATAAAAATCAAAACTGCAAAAAAAAATCACCTCAGAATAAGTTGAAAAGAAATAACGAAAATAATACTAATCTTCAACAAGAAATGTCTGTAATATCAGGAAAAAAATCACAAATAAGGATGCAACAAAATATTGACAAAAGTAATGTATACAATGTTAGGCATACAGATCAAGACAATACAAACTATGGATTGCGTGACTCGGGACTGGAGTCATGTAATCCAGCAATAGACGGGAAGAGACAATGCAATAACGAGGTTGACAACCATCCTAAACAAAAGCGACAGTGCACGATACAGCAGAATAACGAAGACGTTATGCCGCAAGATAACAATGGTGGAAAAAAAAAGAACGCAATGTGTAACGAGTCAATATCGGAGGAGATGAGACATTACTACAACTCGAGTCATGGCCAAGAGAATTTTGACGTTGGAAAGTTACAGCAAGGGATGTCAAAAGATCCACGAATGTGGGCGATCCTCGATGAAGACTTAATGCCGTGTCCCTCTAGCAGACGTAGATTTTGGAACGTCAAATGCACTAATTGCCATCAGGAAGGCCACCAGCGCTATGATTGTTTATCACCACGTAGAATATCGTGTTGCCACATGTGCGGTATGAAGGGCCACATGGAGTTTCGATGCCCGCAGAAGATGTGCATGACATGTGGTAAGCAGCAGAACACATTTCGTAACACGTGTGAATATTGTCGCGTTCTATACTGTACTATGTGTAATTCGGTAGGACATGAACAAGAGCAATGTCCTGATCTTTGGCGACGATACCATCAGACGATCGACATGAATAGTGCACCGCAGGACCTGGGTAACGTGATGAAGCCATCGAGATTGTTGTATTGCTGTAATTGTGCCAAGCGCGGTCATGAATCGTCCACATGCAGGGAATATCGATGGTCTGAGAACTTTCCTACTCCAGCTGTCGTCACAAATTATACAGATGGGCCCACATATGGCTCATGCGCGCCAAGTTCCTCTGGATCTAATCCCGAAACTGATTTCTTGCCGTCTGGCGCGACAGGAAGTAAAACATTGATTCCACCAAATTCTACTAATATACAACATGCAAGGACCGAAGACGTGGAACCTTCTGCCAATATAGACACGTTATCATCACGTATTAATTTTTATATTCTACCAAAAGAAGCTGAGGACATTTCACAAATGGAAGAAAATTCTTCTCCCGCAGTAATTAATATTTGGCCCATAAGAACGAAGCTCAGACAAACCAAAGTAAATAACGTAAAATTTATTGACATTATATATTCCTATGGTCATTTTCGCAACAAAAATCACCAGGACGCGCGGATGATTTTGAAAAATCTTAGTATGTATTTTTGTAGCAGAAAACCTATGTTAAAGAGTTTAATAAACCGCAAGGTTGCTCCGGTTTTTCTTAACACATTGCTTGAGAAACCAATAGAGTTTGAAGTGAAGATAGGCTTTACCAACCGTCGGAATCTACAATTACACTTACTAGGAATGAAAGAATATATAGAGGAGTTGTATGATTTGTTGAGGTATTGGCTTAACCTCCGAGATGATGAGAAAGATTATGGGATAGACGTGACTACTCCACCTATAAATCCTATAAAGATGTTCAACTTCCTGAATTCAAGAATGCCGCAACTCGAGAAAATGCGTTTCACATGTTATGCTGAACATATAGGAGGAATGAATGATCCGCGATGGATTTATAGTTGTATAAACAATGAGAAAATTAAGTTAGTACAACACGAAAAGAATACGAAAATATATAATCAGTCGCGAAAAAAGTTGTGGCGATTGCAAACCAGGCTTCTGATGATTGCCAATACGGAATCTGAACCAAATCGTTTAGTACGTATGTTTCAACTTTTTATGAGGAAATTCGAATCGGATCGACATCTGATGGGCGAAAGACTTGACACTTCCACTTATCTCAGACTTATTTTGCTTTACAATCAGCTATTTGTACCTCACACATCGGAGAACGTACGGAACATGTTACGTCGCATCGAGTTTGAGGAAAAGAAGAAGAATGATGAGAAAAATTCACAGCAGATGCAGCAGGAGATAACGGTACGTGACCAAGGAAACGTTGTGTACAATGTATATTCTTCATCCACGGCATCTTGCGTTCCACAGAACATCAACTTCGAAAATTATTCCGCAATTAATCAACAGAATAATGAAATATTAGTTGAGGGACAAAATATGAACAATATTGCGCTTGAGACGAGCAAAACAACGGATCGCAGTTGCGATGAGATAACAATATATTCTTCTACGCAGGATTCTAAGATTATTATGCCATTAAATATCGAGCCCGTGTCGCTTAAAGATTATGAAAGAAACGAAAGTCAATTATCAACAAGCGAAGTAAACATCGAACCTAATCTATTTGAAAATAAACGGAACATAAATGTGAATAACATGGTACACATACCACGTTTGACGAAAACACACAAAAAGAGATTAAAAAAATTAAATATCAAAATAGAGAATAGTATAGCTACAGCGGTAGGTCTTATAAGAAAGGCTCGTGCTTTTAAAGTACCACATATGATGAATGCAGCAGACGAAATGCAAAGACGGATTAGGAATCAGACAATTAGGCCCAAGCATATCAAGACGTTGTCTAAATTGGTTTTGATAGAGGAGAAATATCAAAAAGAGGTAAATGTATATTGCAAAAATTTGTAAAAGTAGTTTCTAAAAATTAATTACACGCTCGTTCAGTAATACAATGATATCACCGTCTGACATGCATCCGTATAATGTACGAAATGGTTTGGGAAGACATTCTGTACATTTAAATTGCATATGGAAAAATGTTTGTGTTGAACGATATCAAACAACCTGACAAATGTATAATATATTTGATAGAGGACAGAATATATATTATGGCAAAACTTGTAAAATATTTTACAAGTACACACAAAATTTAACCATATATATTATACTCCTTGCTATGTGAATCATTCTCGATGATTGTAAAACAATATTTTGAAATATTATTTGTTTTATGTTACACGCTACAATAAAATAAGTCAATTATTTTTTTTGTAATGCTATATTTTTGGACAAATTATTAAAGAATTCTGCCAATTTATGCTTACTTTATTATATTCATTAGCAATGAAACAATGAAAAGTATACCTTAAAATATTTATTTTGTAGCATTTCTGTCACATCTTATATAATTAACATTAATAATAATTAATTAATGATTTTATCTTGTTTTGAAAATTCTAATGTTCTAATGTTTTAACACGCTTATCATTAAACATTTTACTATTGTATTTATATAGCTATCTTGGCAATATAAAATTTTAAAATTTAAAATTTCAGACTATTCAAATTGCATATTTTACTTGGTGCTTCCACTTTTTAAATTATTATTGTTATAATTTATTGCGCTAAATGAGTGATATAAAGATGTATACTATATGAAAATTGTTAGTTACATTTGAAAAAAAATTCATGAATCATTTAGATACAAATCAATGTTATAAACAACAAATGTTATAGAAAGTTCCAAATTGTAGTTAGTGTTACGGTTTGTACAGAATTCTTAAATAATGTATGCAATTTAGTGTATGTGTAATATATCACTCTAGTAATCACGTTCACAACCAAAGTTCGGTTTGGTTTCAATCGAATCCAACATGACACACAAGAGATAAATGTCCTTAGTCTGATTGTTATTTCTTCATTGGCGGTGGGCCGACCATTGGAGGCGGCGGTCCATTCATCGGTGGTCTCATGTGTCCCATAGGACCTATAGGGCCCATCATAGGACCCATCGGTCCCATCGGTCCCATCATAGGTGGTCTCATGCCCATCATAGGAGGTGGCATCGGTCCATGCGGTCCCATCATCATCGGACCTCCTGGCCCCATCGGACCAGCTGGATGCATACCCGGCGGTGGCATCATTCCCGGAGGTCCCTGTGGCGGTACTCCGGATCTTGAGCCAAGGTTGGAGCCGAGGTTCGGCGGCGGTGGTATCGCCGCGCCCTTGTTGGCCGCAAAAGGGTTGGAGGCAATCTTACCGGCCTTGAAAGCGGCCGTCGTCGCGTCGATCAAATGCTGGGCCTGTTCCTCCATCCATTTCTGGTAGAAATACTTTACATTATCCTTGTGCTTACGACCCTGGCAATGGGTCTTCCGTACGCTCGGCGAGTCATGTGTTAAATAAGTGTCACAGTAGTCGCAATAGTATTTCGGCATCGATGCGCCTATCGATAAATTACGCTGAGCTGCTAAATCAATGCAACCTTCCGAATTTTTCTCGATTTAAATTGCAATTGCTGAGAGAGAGAGAAAGACTAGCCAACACTAGAAACTTCTAGGTTATGTGCAATATATGGGGTGCGTTCGGTTTGGACGCTCACGCGCTGTAAGTTACTCACGTTCACGTCGCACGTCGTTCGGTTTGGCGTTGTAGGCTGCGTTTCGCTATTCACTCGCAGTACTGGCAGCACTGTAAATCTGTTCCAATATACGCGGCAGTAAGCTGTCAAATGTCAAAGCGTTTTCGTGTTCATGTGACGTCTAGATATGGCTGCGTTCGGGGAGCGCGCTATTAGCGCTATTGCATCATTCTATCTTTATCGCTCATCAAGTGTAGAACAAGGATAGAATAAGCAAATAGCGCTAATAGTGCGCTCCCCGAACGCAGCCTTTGTCGTCACTCCCTACTTTCATTACTGCGGCTCGCGAGGTGAGGCATCGCAGTAAGAACATGGAGGCTATGGCGGCACCTTTGAAAAAATTGGTCCTACCTATGTGAACCTTGCACCCGACTTTCGAAAAATTAATTTTTTTGCGGAAAACGTTAGCATTTGGTTTGTAGTTGTTTGTAGTAACAAAAATTTCGTTTGTAGTTTAATACATTAAAAATTATAAACATTTAAAAAATTACTCGCACCCCACTTTGAGATAATTGAAATCCGCTTGCGCCATCTTCTTCAAAATTGTTTGTAGTTGTTTGTAGTGCTTTTCTTTTTGTTTGCAGTTGCACTGTTCAAAGTTTTTAAATTTTTGCAATAAACAAAAAGAGTAACTTTGCCAATTTTGGAGATAT